TCTAAGCCATTCTGCATTCAGGACAAAAGTGAGAAGCCTTGTTATCTCTCGGTGGAAATCTAGGATGATCATGTTCAACTTTTCCCTTTACGTTATGTTTTAATACCATTCCTACCCACCCATACAAAAAAAAACCACAAATGACAACAAACACACTAAATCATGTATGGATTGAAACCATCATTGGGCTGAGATAAAATTGTTAAAATAATTTGTGACAATGCCCAACTGTGATGTATGACTGAGAAAGCAACAAATACCGGATGGCAGCACAAGTTGACTTTTCTTCCTGGGTGTACTTACTCTTTAAGGACATGTCAGTTTGATGAATAGAGATAAAGTCAACACAGCAGTGTTTCATGTTAATGAGTAATAGGCACTGACAGCATCTTTTGATGGGCTTTGGAAGCATCGTAGACTCCTTTTAGCTGTTCACCTCAGCTGTGCTTCACTGTAATATATGCAAGCCAGACTACTACTGTTTCTTCTCAAAAATGAAACCTGATGCAATATGATGTTGAATATTGCATCACTATGTTGTAGTAATGTAATTATCCATCCGGTTTCTTTACCCTATCTCCCTTTTTTAAGGATCGTGGGGGGTAGCTGGAGCCTCCTGCAGAGCCAAACATTAACAAACACAGACCTTTGGGCAATTTTAGAATATCCAATTCACCTGACCTGCATGACTGAACTGCTGGAGGATACGGGAGCACCCAGAGGAGACTGAATGTGGGGAGCATGCACATTCAGAAAGGTCCCAGTCGGCCCTGGTTGTATTCAAACCCGGAGCATTCTTGCTGTGAGGATAAGCACTGTGGAAACATGCCCTCCTAATGTGATTAATACTGTGGAAATGTAAATGATGCTGAATTCCCCACCCTGAACATTTAGATGATAAAAAAAGCAATTATCTGAGACCGTTAAGATTTATTCTCTTATGTTAATGATCAGGAAAAAAAGCTAATGTTTTAAAACTACAAATATTTTTTATGCACTGAGTGGGTTGTAAATAACCAGTTGGCACAATGTAAAAGTTGCATTATAACTTAACTTGGCATATCAGTAGATAAACAGTGTGCTTCTTCCTATATGGAGTTCAGGAAACTGTGTGAATGAATAACAGCATATTCTTTCACCTGCACTGCTCCCTTAGCAGCTCGGCCTAGACATTGCGGTGACCTCAGCCAGCCACCAGTGTAGATTAGCCATGGGGAGGAGATAACTCACACTGTCAGAGCTCTGTGTCACAGAGTTTGAGTCACTCTATCCAAGCTCACAAAGTGATACTTCCAACAAATTCAAGTATTTCAGCTATAGTATCTCTGCTTCTTCATTTCTGTGTGTTTGCTTTGTCTTGCGTCTCTCTTACTGGTCTTTGCCTAATCTCTCGCTGTCAAGTCCAAGTCTTGACCAGTCGGAAGATCCAAATGGAAGACACATCATTGGGTCAGGGCAACACAGTGGTGTGGCAATTAACACTGTTGCCTCACAGCTCCTTGTTTGAATCCTAGTTATCCAGGGTCTTTCTGTGTGCAGTCTGCATGTTCCCCCACAGGATTGCGTGGGTTTTTTCTGGGTACTCCTGCTTCCAAAAACATGCAGGTTGGGGTTAGGTTAATTGGAGACTCTATATTGATTGTAGGTGTGAATGGTTTGTCTCCATATGTTGGTCCTGTGATTGACTGGTGAACTGCCTAGGGTTCACCCCACCTTTTGACCAATGTTGGCTGGGATTGGCTCCAGCTCCGCCATGGCCCTGACAGAATAAGCCATATAGATGAAGGATGGATCTTTGGATCAGCTGGAGTTGACAGCTAAAGTAAGAGTTAAACAAACATGTTGATGAGGATTACTACATCTTATCAAACAATGATCAAACCAATGATGGGTGTCATGGGCCCTTGGCAGCATGTTTGTAGCCATGTTTGCTGTACAGTATCTGCCATAAATATGCTGTGTGATGTGAAACCATGTGTAGTGTCTGAATCACTTTCATCCCATATTGAAGATAGTTAGCCCTAGCCTTGTTGCCATCAAACACTAAAAGCAAAAACAAATTTCAGCCCCATTTAAAATTTTTCACTCAAACACAAACTCAGGAGAACTGACCTATAAAATTCAATTTTGTCTCAAAAAGAAAGCTGAGCGAGAAACAACATTTTTTGTTGTTGACAAAAATGTTCTTCTTGTTCCACAAAATCAAAGTATACTGTAAGTCCTGATCATGAGCCTGAAATACATACTGTTCCCTGATTTGTCCTGTTATCTCATTACTTCTAACTCTCATAAATCACAGGGTGTTAAGTATAAAACATACATTCACTTAATCACTTTAAGATGGGGGTATTTTTTTCTTCTAAGTGGGACCTGTGCTTTTCATTTAAATGTAAACCCTTGTAGCAACAACCGCTGACTTCATCTTGGAAGCTGATGCTGCCTGTTAACATTACATCCACACTGTAAGGACGGGGATTGAGGAAGCTTTTAAGTGAGCTTTTCGACAGAGCCAGCATGTCTCTTTGTGTCTCACATCAAGCCGACAGGAATTCAATAATTCTGGGGTCTCATTAAGTGCTGGCAATTTACCTGCTGTAACGTGTCAGGAGCACATCTGCAGTGAGAGCCCCTTAGCACACCAAGTCTGGAGTGCAGCACAATCTGCAGCAGCAGTGGTTATTGTTCATGCAGCACCTCACCCTGGTGCCCAGCGCCTCACAATTCTTATTCAGAGAGAGACCTTCTCACAGCTACTGCGCCTCCCATCCCTTTGCTTTGCCACTGACGTAGAGGGAAAAAAAGGGAGGAAATCAATGAAACCAAGAATCAATAGGACTCCACCATTGCCCAAGCCCATCTGCTCCTTTTTAAAAAAGATGACGTAAAGTTGACTCGTGAAAATAGCAGTTTGGTGTTAATCCTTTCCACCGATTGTTGGAATTTATTAAGAGCTATTGAAAGTCCTCAAACTTGAACCCTGTGACATTTAGTACAGAAGACTTCATGCTCCGTTAACCTAATGCAGAATAAACGTGTGGATGTGTGCGGCACGCAGCAATTCTCCTGTAAGGACACACTCCGATGCACCAAAGAGGATCATATGGTTTTTGCTTTAAGCTTGTCAAGTACCCTTTGTTTTCTCGTCTTTGGTTAGCAATATATCACAGCCGAGTGTCTTAAACATACACATTATCTACTGGTGTGATTCAACCTTCACGGGTCAAAATTCATACCTTTTCCTCTCATATTACCCCCCCCCCCCCTTTTTTGTGTTATCTCTGTTGTAAGCAGGCATAGCATTTGTAACTGTTATCTGTGTTATGCAATGAAAGATGGTGTTATGTCAAAGCGGACTTTATTCAAAATGAAAGCGAAGAAAGGGGAGAGATTGCACAGATACTGTCAAGGAATAATTTATATGGGCGACTCAGTAAACAACGCACAACTGGTATAACCACTATAATCTGAAGACTGATGCTGTAAATTAAGGTACAAAAATGAAAAATGTATTCATTATGTTCATTCAGCACTGTTATGATCCCTTTAATTTATTCACTAGTGTTTGAGCCAGATGTGTTTTATGTTCTTTGTTGCAGACTAGTTTTCCTCCCTTTGCTGCCTCAATCTGTCCCACTTTGGCCAGTTTATTCAAATATGTAATTGAAGAGTTTTAAATACAGATGAAGGGTATGTGTTTTCCTGTCTAGTGAGGAGCTGTGGATTACTTTTGATATGATAGCCAGCTCCAAAACATAAATCTTTGGTTTTGATGTGGGAGCAACCTTTAGGTTTACGTTTCAGTCATGCACTCTGCTTTTTAAAAAAATGGGAGGTGATTTTTATGCGGTCTCGAGCACAGACCCTGGTGTGCTGGAAACATGCTTTTAAGAGTTTTCAATCATGTTATGTAAAATTACACCTCATTCCTTTGGAATTGTTTTTGCAGTAACATGTATGTTTTTTGATATAATTTATGATCCAGATCACATTGATCAGTAACATTATGTAATGTGCATGTGGTTGCTGATACCTCATAGTTTTTGAAAGTAGGCAAAATCAGGGACAACCTATAAATTGGGGAATCAACACCAATGCTCAGTGTTCCTGTGGCATGACTTGGACCACATCCTCTGTGGGTGCCCATGGGGTCCCATTTGCTCCGGAAGGACACAGACAGATGAATGGATACAGCACTGGTGGGATAAGATATGGTGATGATGATTAAATAAATCATCTATTTGATGTACCCTTGATCTCATATCTTTGTAAGCTCGTAACACAAAGTAAAGCAAGCAGGCTGCCTCTTACTTTTAAAATGAATTAAAACAAGAATGATGCTTTAAAATCTAAATGTGCAATAATATTTTCTAAGTAATGAAAGTGTAGCTGTATTAAAAGTGTACTTATTCTGAAGCAACTCGGCACGGACGCCGTCACGATCTCCCATAATTACATTCTCTGACACAATACTTGAGGAGCAGCCTTTGTGAACTGGAGAGACCCCATGTAATTTCTTTCTTCTTTTTTATCCCTAAAGGCACTGACTCCTTCCTGTGTCTCCTCGGACGAGTTGTGTAAAGATATGGCTACAGGCGATTGATTGAATAATCCTCCGCGGCCCTTATCTCAGCCCAGTTCATCACTCCATCCAACCTGCAGAGCAAATCTCCATATCTCCTCACACTAGTCTACAGGTGAAAACACTGTTTCCAAGTCTATCTCCACACTCAGCCCTCAATCTCTCCGTCTCTCTCTTTTCCTTCACTTGTCACTTTCTTTTTTCTCTCAGTGGATTCAGACAACATATTGTTGCTCAGAGTGCACATGTTAATCAATAACAAGTCACTACATTGTCAGATAGTTTGTCTCTATTTTATGATAATCTTCTGTTAAATGTCATAGCACTTAAACATGCCATTAACACACCAATCTGAATGTAGCAGTGTTAGACTTAGCAGGGTTTCTATTGATGAAATCATGGTCATTTTTTTCTTTTACAGCTGTTGGCCATTTTTTCCTCCATGCTGTGGCCTTGTGGCAGAGGTATGTTTTTTTCTTTCTCATTTCAGATGTTGTAGACGGTACAAATCAATGCTTGACTCCTCAAGTTAACCTTGGGATGTCATTACTGTCTGCACATTAAAGCCAAGCTTGACTTGAGCTAATTTAGCTAAATGAGGATATCTCCCAGCTGAGATGGAATGATGAAGGGGAGCCTCGGAAGCGTGACATTTATCCCTGCAGGAATGGCTATGGATTCATTGTCAAACATTTTTTGGGCTATAAGGCAAATGACATTCATGGTTTGTAGTTTGTTTCATGCATATGAGTTGTCTGGCCCATTTAAATAGATTTAAATATACTTCTAACTTCATTGTTTGATCCATCTGTCCATTTTATGATAGTTGGTTTGTTTGTATGTTTGATCACACCAAATCTACAGGATGGATTACCATGACACTTAGTGGAAAGATGCTAATAGAAAATGAGAAAGAATGATAAACACTAAAGTGTAGTTAGGCACACAGTGTCTCTCTCTGAACCAGATTCAGCCCAAGAAAAAATTAACGGAACCTCGTCCCAAACCTGACAGGCACTCTGTTTTCCCCGATTACAGGCACGAGCAGTGTACAAAGTCAAGTTGATAGCCATATACTCCATCACACACACACATTTCAACACATGGGCCCATACGTCCATGGTAAACGGTTTAAGCCATTGCAGTTTCCTTATGCAATCAATGTATCATATGGATGGAGATAGCACTTCGCCCAACCATTGTCATTTTTATGTTAGAATGTTGGATAAATATACAACTTAAGGAAAATGCAGGTGTAAGACAATTCTGTGTCTATGATCAGGCTTTGACTACACAAATATCATTATCATCAAACTTATCCTTTATGTTCCTTCAGGAATGTCCTCTTTGGATTTCATCGCTGATGCAGAATGTGCCATATAGACAGACTGAGTGAGAAGGAGTCCAATAGTGGGAGTGTGAATGTCTCCTTGTGAGATAGTCACACATCTTATCTCCCCACGTATTCAGACACTTTCCTCATTTATATGGTTTGTGTGTTTACTTGTAGACGGTTTCTTCGACACCCTTATCCATCACCGATCAGCCTCTGTTTGATTCGTGCGTCTGGGTAATCTTGAATCTAGCTCGGTAGGCAATTGTTCTCATTGACATTCTGCATGGAGATATTCTTTATGTCGCTACCGGATCTGTCCATCACATGGGTAAGCTCCTCCAGCCTGCTGCTTGGCAGACACTCATTACTGGCAGCGTGAGTCTTAATTAGAATAATGAGAAATTAAATATTTTAAGAGGAAGGAGACCCGCTTTTTAAAGTCTTAATCAATTTTATAGATATTGTCAGAGAATTAAATTAGATGAGATAAAATTTGCATTTTCCAACTATCACTGAAAGCCTCCCTCTCTTACTGCCAGAGTCAAAATCCACAATCGGAGTCTCTTCTACAGTAAACGTCTTCATTAAAAAAATACATTTTGCTCTGAAGCAGGAGGTTACTTCAAGTTTCAAGTATGTGCATCCAGCGTATAATGAACGGGAGAGCAAAGGAAATCCTTTGCAGATAAGACACGAGGTTCTTTAAATAGAAAAATATAAATCCGGCTGGGGTCAGAGAGAATACAGTGTCTACTACCTAAAAAATGTTGGCTTGTCATTCGGTGTGCTGAAACCTACCGAAACAAGCAATTTGATGGTTCAGGTTTTAATATCTAGTCAGGGAAAACCAAATTGAATATAAGTTCAGAACATTTCATAAGAAACAAACTATGCTCTGAGACACGGAAAGTATTTGTTTAAGTTGGGATGAAATTAAAGAGAATAATGTGTGTACTTGGCATGAATAAATAGACGCTATGGTTCATGTTCCCTGACTTACTTAAATGATTAATAAAACCATGGGCCTGACTTTTAAGTGTTAAGATCATGGAACGTGGCTTTGCTTTTATTGCACAAATTACTCACTTTGAAAGAATAGAATTTCCTGTCATTACATGCAACACAAAGACGTTCATGCTATTAAGTCCAGGACGGAGAATTACCGCTCATTGTGCCGAATGTGTGCATCAAACATTCATGCTGTAAGATGGGACATATGGAGGGACGATGCTGAGGCTGCATGTGCAGTTATTGTCGGATGCTTGTTTTGAAAGACTCAGAGTCTTTTTTTTAATAAATTATTAAGATCCCACTCACCTCCTCCAGGAATGTCTAAAGAGTGCCAGTAAATAACTGAATTAATGAATAATCATTAAACTGTGGATGCTGTGGAGGATCATTGAAATTACTGTGAATAATGACCAAGCAAATGAGACGGTTCGCCCAACCGGTGTCTGAGTTGGTGATATAGTTATTATTCAAGTCCTCAGCTCCAACCATTGCAGTATTACAGGAAAAGAAGGCAGAAAATATATATGTGGGAGTCAATGAGTCACACACAGAGCCAGATTCATCAGGTTAACTCTCAATAACTTTACTAACCTAAATTATAGTTTTTGACCTTATGGATAACACCAGTTTTTTTAGAATTTGTCAGATTGTTATATTCACACCTGTTCTGCTCAGCGGTGGGTGAACATATTATAATCAGTGGTGTTTGTTTGTCTGTCCCACAAAAACCCAGACAGTTTAAATGCACATTTGACTCATTATTTACTTTTTTTATTCAAATTCATCAAAGGTCAAGGACTCAGCATGGGATCAAAACTTGAGTTTACTGCATGGTGAA